TAACTGTTGAAATGTATAGATTTATATTTGCCATTTTGCTATTTGTTTTCTATGTCTTCTTTTTTGCTCATCTATTCATCCTTTACTGCCTTCTTTTATATTACATAAATATTTTTGATGTCCTATTTAATTCCTTTGTGTGTATGTGCATAATATATACATAATTTTATTAGCAATTACTTTAGGGATTAAAATGTATACCTAATTAATTACAATCTATTTCACATTAATACTAAATTCTGGTAAAATATAAAAACTTTGCTCCAGTATAGGTACATTCTATCCTCTCTCCTTTGTGCTATCATATAAATTGTATTTATTTATGTTATAAACCCAACAATAGAGTTATAAATAATGCATTATACAATCATATGTCTTTCAAAGAAGAGAAAAAAATATATTAGTAAAATCTTTTATGTTAACTCACATTTTCCCATTTCCAGTGCTCTTCATTTCTTCTTGTAGATTCAAGTTACCAATTGGTATCATTTTCTTTCAAGATGAAGGACTTCATTTAGTATTACTTGTAAGACAGGTTTGCCAGCAACAAATTCTATTTGTTTACCTAGGAATATCTTTATTTTGTCACCATTTTTGAAGAATTGTTTTGCTGGATATAGAATTCTTGTGGTTGACAGCTTTATTCTTTCAATACTTTGAATATGTCATTCCACTGTCTTCTGGCCTCCGTTTTTCAGACAAAAAGTCATCTATTAACTGTATTGCTCCCCTGTAAGTGATGAGTTGTTTTTCTCCTGTTGCTTTCACAATTTTTTGTCTTTTCTTTCAATACTTTGACTATAATGCGTATATTGTGCATCTCTGTGTATATACCTTATTTAACATTCACTGAACTTCTTGCATCTTGTAAAAACGATGTGGCGGAGGTGTCTGACCTCCTCTGACTTCACAAGGGGGAAGGAAAATCAAGATCAACAGCCCAAGCCTGATTGCTATGAGGCAGAGGTCAGACATACTTCCTCTTGCCAGTCCCTCCCATGGCACTCTCTACTTCTTTGCTGAGTTCAGTAATTTGTTGCAGTGGCCACACAGAACTCACAGACCTATATTCACAATTACGGGGTTTTTTAGGGAAGTAACAGGTTACAGTTCAGGTTCAGGAACACTTAGGATACAGTTCTTCCATCAGGACAGCCTCTTCTCAGCCATGCCCACAGGCAGGCCTCTCTCTGGCCCCTCAGTCTCTGCCCTGCTCTGGCAAGTGTTACAAAGCTCTTTTAGCTCTGCCGATAAGTGCCCTGAGGCAGACTACTCTGCCAGCAAGGCTTCTACCTGAAGGTGCTCAGCTTTCTCACTCCATGTGCCAGGCCATCTCCTGTCGGTCTCCTGGTTCTGCTGCCGCCGTTTGTCTGCCACTGCTTCTTAACATCTTCGGTGTTACAGCTATCTCTCTCTCGCTCACTCTCTCTTTCTGTCTCTCCGTCTTCTAGTTCCAGAAGCTTCTCAGAGCAGGGATCCTGGGTCCAAAAGATGCACTCCACTCCTGGATCTTCCTTCTTGGTGGTGGTGAGAACCTCTCTTCCAGCCTCTGGCATGGCAAAAATGACCAATTCTTTCATTAGAGTTCCATATACCTTATTTGCATAGTCCCACTGAGTCACTGTGTGTGAGTCCCAAAGGCTATGGCTAGAGGGACATATTAAATAATTCACTGCACTGCAGATCTGTAGTTTAATGTTTTTATCAAATGTGGGAAGTTTTCAGATATTATTTCTTCAAATACCTTTTCTGCCCCTTCTACCCTCTTCTCTCCTTCCGGGACTCTCATTACAAGTATGCTGGTTTCCCTTTACCAAGATTGCCATTTTTACCAACAACACTACTGGGAAGCAGCAAAGTTGCTGGTTCTCACAGCCTATCCTACGCTGGAAGAACCACTACACTGACTGAGCTGAGAGAGATGGGAACAGTCATATTTTTTGGAATATGGAAAGAAAAATTCCATAGTTTTTCAAGCATTAATACTTCCCAGTTTGTTGATGCTTTTGGACTATTTCTAGTGTCTGAAATGGCTTTTTTGTTAATTTGTTTAGCTTTATACCTGTATTTTGGGGAAGATGATTTGCCAGCCTCCTCACACAGCCATAGTCAGAAGTATCTCCTCTCCAATTTTTCTATGCATTTTCAAAATAGTTGTGATCATATTAAATAGTTATATATACTGATTTTTCATTTACCAGACTATCACATGCATTCTCTCATGTTATTAAAATTTTCATAAGAATAATGTTTAATGTGTGTACACTAGTCTCCTATAATATAGATATAATAAAAATAACACCTAAAACTGTGTGTTCTCTCTGGCAGACTGACCCCAGAACAACCAGATAGTGCCTGGCTACCACCACCAACTGGTCTGACAGGGATCACAGTAGAGGTCCCCAGACAGAGCAGGAGAAAGATGTAGAACAAAAAAAAAAAAAAAAAAAAAAGACCAGGCTTGCTGGTTTGACAGAGAATGAAGAAACCCCAAGAGTACAGATCCTGGACACCCTTTTTACTCAGTACTGAAGTCACTTCTGTGGTTCACCCTTTAGCCAAAGATTAGACAGGTCTACAGGGCAAACAATAACACATGTGAAGAACATGCTTCATAGTTCAATCATGTATATGAGACTAAATAGGCACACCAGCCCAAAAGCAAAGATGAAAAGGCAGGAAGGGACAGGAAAACTGGACAAATGGAAACAAGGAACCCAGGGTGGAGAAAGGGAGAGTATTGACACATCGTGGTGTTAGTAACCAACGTCACAAAACAATCTGTGTATTAATTGTTTAATGAGAAACTAATTTGCTCGGTAAACTTTCACCTAAAGCACAATTTAAAAAAAAAAACAACTGTGTGTTCCAATTATACTCCTAGTGCTTTACATATTTCACCTCATTTAACATATAAAATAATCCAGGAAATAAGCACTGTCTCCATTTTACTGATGAATAAACTAAGCTGAGAGAAATTTAGTCGTTTATCCAAGGTCACTCAGCCAGTAAACAGCAGTTTTAGAATTCAAACTCGAGGCTGCCTGAATTCAAAGCCCATAAGCTTTCTAGTGTGACATAATGGTTCCCTCAGATTCACCAAGAATATCTTCATGCTTAAAGGTTTGGAAACATTTCTAATTATTTCCTTAGATTCCTGGAAACAGAAGTACTATGGGAAAGGAAGGATATAAGTATCTTAACACACACTGACAAAATTATTTTGCAGAAAGTTTGTACCAGTAGTGAATGAGAATTGTTGTTTTACCACACGTTTGCCAACAATGGACATTATCATATTTTATTTAAAATATTGTCAAATTTGATAAGAAAAAAAAATTTTGTTGTTATTTAAATTTGCTTTTTTAAATTATAAGTAAGGTCAATTGTTACTGCTCATATTTATTGGACATTTGTATTTCTTCTTTTCTTAACTGCCTGTTCATGTACTTTGCTCATTTTTTTAAAAAGCAGTGTGTTTTTCTTATAGATTTGAAAGGGTGCTTTATGTATTAGGAATATTAGCTATCTTGTGATATGTATGCAATATTTTCCCCAGTTTTGTCATTTACTTTGTAATTTTATGACGGTTTCTTTTACATATACAAGTTTTTCATCTTTTTGGTAATCTAACTCTTTTATATCTTTCATTGCTTTCAAGCTTAGGAAGTCTACCTCTAATTCATATCTTTAATTAACAGATGCTTCTATTTTTATAGTTTTGATATTTAACCTCTTTTAATAAATACATTTGAAATTTATTTTGATGTATGTTATATATAACACTTTTGCATTTGTTTTCCATTTAACTGTCTATCTACAAAGCATTGACAAGTATCCTTTTTAATGGATGTATATTTCCTCATTTATATTTACCATAATTTACTAAATTATTCTCTATGCTTAAAATGTTATTTTAGTTTTCGCCATTATAGATTCCAAAAAGCTTTCATGAATATAGGGGCTTTGATCCTATTAAAATCATTTTCTTGGATAAAACTCTTTTAAGTGGAATTTCTGGTTCAAAGAGTACTGGTATGGAAAGAGCTTACTACTCAATTGATTTGCAGCTAGATGGTAGATCTTTCACAACTCTATTGTTTAAAAATAGTTGTCTTAATGATGAAATAGTAACAAGGTTTTTTTGTTTTTTTTTTTTTTGGTTGTATTATTGTTGTATTTTACAAAGCCTCACTTTCTTCTAAGAAGCAAAACAGTAAAATTGACTTTTTGCCTAAAAATTTATGATTTTAACATTTTGACACCTCAAAAATGAACAATCCATATTCTAGCTCATTAATTACCACACGAATTTATGGTTTTGCATACTTAACACATGAACTTTTTTCATTACCGTAAATGTTTTGTTTCCAACTTTACAGAGGTAAACTGAAGTATAATAAACTGTACATATTTAAAGTACACAAATTGATAAATTTTCACATACATATACATCCGTGAAACCATCCCACAATCAAGATAACGAACATTTCTATCACCCCTAATACTTGCCTCACATTCCTTTGTAATTCATCCCTCCTTCCACTCCTGACCCCAAGCAACCACTGATCTGATTTCTGTCTCTCTGGTTTCCAAGAATTGTATATAAATGGAATCCTACAGTATGTATACTCTTCTTTTGTCTGGCTTCCTTTATTTAGCATAAAGCATCTGCAATTCATCCATGTTGTTGCAAGTATATCAATAGATCATTCCTTTTAATTGCTGAGTAGTATTCCATTGTATCGATATACCACTCACTTTGGTTTTTTGTTCACCTGTTGATGGAGATTTGGGCTGTTACCTAGTTTTTGCCTTTTCATTATCCTGGAGTTTCTAAGGTCCAATGGCAAAATGACTGCAAGGCTCTATATTTAACATCCTAGCAAACCAACTGGTTCCAAATATCAATCGCACAGATGTGTATGCCGAAGATATAAGTAAAAACATATATAAAGGATAAATCAGAATGAGAATGTCTATGCAATTTTTTTTCTTACCTTTTCATAGACTATACTGTCTAGATAAGGGTAAACATGAAAAGCTCCCCGAATCCTCTTCACACCTGGATACAGCAATGGTACCATATTAACATAAGCCACACCATGAAATGAAAGTTGACTTTCATCCTCAGTCTAAGGGAATAAAACCAGAGAGTTGTTAGTGCTCTAGGGCAGTGCAGAATTATGTATGGAGCTCTGAATCGGGAGTTTGAAGACCAAGCTATAGGAACTGGCTCTGTTACTTAACTAGTATGGTCTGGTTACTTAGATATTCTGGCCTTCAGTTTCTTTATCTTCAAAATGGGTTTAATAATACCATGATTATTGAGATAATACATATAAACAGTGTTAATGAATAGTAAATGCAGGAGCTGAATCAACACATACTGAAATTAACTGATCATATATATGCATATTCAACCAAAAAGTCAATTTTACCATGTTGATTTTAGGAGAAATTTGTGAATAATAACAGCAACAAAAATCTAAAAGAAATCAGAAGCTGTAGCTTTTAGCTGTAGTTCAGAGACTCATATGGGTGAAGGGGACTTAGAAATCATCTGGACCAATGACGGCAAATAGGTTTTAACTTATGACCAAATTCTAATTAATTGCTGGCAGTGTTTTGGAGAGTTGTGTTGAGAAAGATTCTATGTCCTTATCTGGGTTAGGAATCCCTAGGTGGTCAAATGGTTAATACACGCGACTGCTAACCAAAAGGCTGGAGGTTTGAGTTCCCTAGAGACACCATGGAAAAAGGCCTGGCAATCTACTTCCAAAAAAATTAGTCATTGAAACGCCAACGGCGCACAGTTCTCCTCTGCCACACACAGGGTCACCAAGAGTTGGAATCGACTGGATGGCAGCTGGACTTGTTATCTGGGTTCATGGGGGAAAGACTGATTTGATTGATTAGGAATATCAATCATGGGATAAAGGAGGATGAGTGACAATCCCCCGTCAGGTATTTGCCAACCCTGATCTCATCTAAACTCTCATTATGAAGATGAAAAACATGTCAATAAATACGTCAACGTTATTTTTAATGGATGTATGGCTTGCCATAGAAAGCTTTTCTAAGAACAAAATCATTTTAGCCAAAGAAAACACATTTAATTCCTATAAGCTTTAAAATAATCTCTTTGATCTCCCTATTATAATAATAATTAGAAAAGAAATTAAAAAGTCATATGTTCATGTGATAACATGACGTAGTTTAGAATTCTAAGGAAAGTTAGCCAGTGCATATTACATACTACAAAGGGAGTAATGGTGGTAGTATTTTTATTATGCAAAAAACAGCTCATTTTTTAAATCAATCATATAATTTAGGTCCTTGTTAAGCACCTGCTATATACCAGGCATCATGCTAGGTACTGTGGAGGATACAAAACAGTTTACGACAAAATCTCTACCCTCAGCAAGTTTATTAACAAGCAGAAAAGACCAGGTAAAACAAGAGAGAACATGTTCTTAGGCTCATGGAAGCTGTATCTTTTCAGAACAGTAGTACATTTATGAACCCTCTTATTCTAATTAGCAGGCTATAACAGTTTAAGTAGGTAATTCTACCTACTAAAGAATTTTTAAAATGTATTAGGTTAAACCATATGAATTTGTCAATATTTGACCACTTTTGAGTTACAAAAATGGCTATTTCGTATGGTTTTACCTATGGTAAAACTATAATGATGAGCTAAAGGGAAAGAGGATGTTTGGGAATAAAGCCTTAACAATTCTGAGGAAAAAATAGGCACCTAGGGTGCCCAACACTCTCAGTTTTCCTGAGACAGAGAGGTTTCCTGAGATAGGAGACTTTCAGAGGTAAAACCTTGAAAGTTCTGGGCAGACAAGGATGAGCTGGTCACCCTAGAGAGAATAGTCAAATCAGTTCACATGTTCCTTTGTTACCAGGATTAGAAGCAGAATAACAGGTTGGGTCTGGTCCAGCATTTCTTATATAAGTATTTTTAAATGAGCATATTTACCTTATCTAATTTGCCAACTTTCCCTTTGGGTGCAGCAGTCAGAGGAACTCTTGTGATCTCTACGGGCCAAAGTCGGCAATCAACAATTCGCTTCTGAAAACTGCAAATCAAAAATCACCCTATTAGCAATACATGCGAAAATGGGATTAGTAAAATTTAGGTCAAAGGGAAGTATTCATCTCTTTTAGAAAGTAATGGAATACACATATATAAACACTTTTATCAGGTAAGTGGATTTTTTGAAGCCTTCCCAAATCTCTTATAAAATTCCAAAAATAATTCTAAACTGCTAGCAGGGAATCCCTGGGTGGTGTAAATGGTTAACATGCTGTGCTCTGCTGCTAACCAGCCAGAGGCTGTTTGAAAGAAAGGCCCAGCAATCTACTTCAGAAAAATCAGCCACTGAAAACCCTACGGAGCAGTTTTACAATGACACACACGGGGTCACCATGAGTCGGAATCGACTCAACGGCAACTGGGTTTTGTTTCTTTCTTTTTTTTTTTTTAATTTTACTACTAGCAGAGGCTAACTGTACATTTTTAGAGCAATTTGGCAATATGAATCAAAAGCTTTAAAGATGTTCATGATCTTTGATTCAGAAATTCCCATCTAGTGATTTATCATAAAGAAATGATTTAGGAATATTGGAGTTATTATTCCCTCTCCTTGAGCATACAGAATGTGACCCAGCTGGAGCTGGGCTCACAAGGACTCACAAGGACACATCAATTGGGCCCTGAGATATAAAGACAATAGCTAAGATAATCTTGGAAAATATCTTTTAGGGAAACTTTCACATAAAGCCAATCAAATAGAACACAAAAGACTTTCTACTCTTATCTTTTTCTATTAGCATTTAGTGAATAGAAATTTGTTGGACCAATGAAGACCCTCCCGACTCTTGTTACTGAAACCTGTACCAGTGATTGTTAAGAAAGACAATTCAAAATGTAGGATCACAGTTTCTAGCCAGTCTGAAAAGGTTAAGCTTTCTGTGGTTTTGCCCATTTGTAATGTTAATATATACTGATGACTCTGTAATGGTCTTGGGACTCGGGCAGACATGGCTGTGGCAGAATGCTTGTCCGTTTTCCCACTTTTGTCTGTTCTGTGATATTTCCTTGGACTTGGGCAGACATGGCTCTGGCAGCATGGTTGTCTGTTTCCCACTTCTGCCCTTTTGAATATATGCCGAATAAAACTTTCTTTTGCTTTACTAAACTTTATGATTTCTTCCTCTACAACAGTGAATGGCGTAGTTGGCAGGATCTACAACAGAAATAATCAGAGAAGTATGCAAATAGCATAAAACATTTATTTCTACTGTCAAAATAGCTAGAGCACGACTTCCGTTTCGGCTCCTACGTATAAAGGGGCTGGAAGTTGTTGCTCTCGTCCCTACAACAAGAAAAAAGCTGAACAAAGTGAAAATCGATGACTTTTCTTAGATCCACCAGAGAGTCGAGGGCAAACCATCACCCTGAAATTTGGGGAGACAGGAGAACACAGAGAATCACAGTTGAGATGGGCTTTCTGAGAGCAGAAGCCACTAGAGCCAATAACTGGTACGAACACTTCAATGGTAATTTTGATGAATTGCTGGAGGCTGAGTATAGACTAACTTGTGAGTTAAAAACTCCTGGGGGCCCAATCTCAGAATGTTACCTGGTAGAAACCCCAGGTTCTTGCTCTGCATGACTCATATTGGCCTATAAATGAGAGACCAAGGTGGGAGACCAGGAAAAGCACCTTTAGTTCACTGTACAAGGAAAAGTAGTCAGTCGGAGCACTTCTGCCCAGACTGCTCCCCAGGGGCAGACAGGCAAGTTACTTTTAAAGGGGTTTACAAGTAGGGAGTTCATACAAGTTACATCAGCAACATTCTTAATCATACTGCGCAGGCGCAATGGGGTTTACATGTAACCTCCAAGCAAAAGCAAGATTCAAACGCAAAGCTGAGGGCTGGGTCGGGGGATAGGGGGGTGGCGGGGAAACCCAGCAAAGGAAACAAGACCCCTACCTCTAATATAGCACTGAAGGGGAGGAAGCCAAGAAAAGAAAACAGGATTCCCAACAGGCAAATGCACACAGACAAAAGTTTATTAGTGGTTACCAGGGGCTGGAAGGAAGAGGGGACGGGATGTTGCTGCTTTAACGGTACTGGGTTTCTGTTTGGGGTATTGGAAAACTTTTGGAAATAGTGGTGATAGTCGTGCAACATGGTAAATGTAATTAATGTCACTAAATTGTACACTTAAAAATGGCTAAAATGGCAAATTTTTTATTATATATATTTTACTAAAATACAATTATTTTTTAAAAGACCCATTAAAAAACTGAGATTTAATCAGAAGTTTATATAGAATGCTTGCCTTTCCCAACACCTTACCACTACATCAACAGAGTTCCAGGATAATAACAGTTGATTACAACTGAGAGAGCTACAAAACAGAATCTATTTAAGAACAAGTTTTAGGGAAATCCAAAGGCAACATGAGAGGAAGAAAAAACAAGGAAATTGAAGCTTCTGACACCTACAGCTTCAAGAAACATTAAACACAGCCCAGCTTCTAACAAGATTCACAAAAAACCTCACACTAAACTTCTAATTACCTCAATTTCTACTACCTGATCCATAATGTCCAGCTTTCAATAAAATATTGCAAGGAATGCCAAGATAAGAAAGCATACATTCTTTGGGGAAAGAGAGTAGGGAGAACTCTGTACTATCTGCTCAATTTTTCTATAAATCAAAAACTGTTCTAAATGTAGTCTTATTTTCTGTGATCACTAGCCATTAGAGAAATGCAAATCAAAAATAAAACGAGATACCATCTCACCCCAACATTACTGGCATAAATCAAAAAAACAGAAAATAACAAATGTTGGAGAGGCTGTGGGGAAACTGGAACTCTTACGCACTACTGGTGGGAATGAAAATGGCACAACCATTTTGGAAAACAATATGGCACCTCTGTAAAAAGCCAGAAATAGAAATACCATACGATCCAGCAATTCCACTCCTAGGAATATATTCTAGAGAATTAAGAGCCATCATATGAACAGATATACGCACATCTATGTTCAATACAGCATTATTTACAATAGCAAAAAGATGGAAACAACCTAAGTGCCCATCCACAGATGAATGGATAAATAAACTATGGTACATACACACAACAATATGCAACAATAAAGAACAATGATGAATCTGCAAAACATCTCACGACATGGATGAATCTGGAGGGCATTATGCTGAGTGCAATAAGTCAATCACAAAAGGACAAATACTGCATGAGACCAACAATATAAAAACTCATGAAAAAGTTTACAGACAGAAAAAACCATCTTTGACGGTTACAAGGGTGGGACCGCGTGGGGAGGGGAAAAACACTAACTAGGCAATAGATAAGTGGTAACTTTGGTGAAGGGTAAAACAGTACACAATACTGGGGGAGTCAGCACAACTTGACCAAAGCAAAGTCATAGAAGATTCACAGACACAACCAAACTCCCTGAGGGACCGAGTTACTGGCTGAGAGCGGGGGCCCATGGTCTCAAAGGACATCCAGCTCAATTGGCATAACATAGTTTTTAAAGAAAATGTTCTACACCCTACTTCGGTGAGTAGCGTCTGGGGTCTTAAAGGCTTGTGAGTGGCCATCCAAGACACGTTTTCCGGTCCCACCTCGTCTGGAGCGAGGGAAAATGAAGAAAACCATAGTTGTTGTTGCTGTTAGGTGCTATCGAGTCAGTTCCAACTCACAGAACGAAACACTGCCTGGTCTTGCACCATCCCCATAATCGTTGTTATGCTTGAGTCCATTGTTGCAGCTGCTGTGTCAATCCATCTCATTGAGTGCCTTCCTGTTTTTGCTGATCCTCTACATTATCAAGCATGATGTCCTTCTCTAGGGACTGGTCCCTCCTGATAACATGTTCAAAGTACATGGGACAAAGTCTCATGAGCATTCTGGCTATACTTCTTCCAAGACAGATTTGTTCATTCTTTTGGCGGTCCACAGTATATTCAATATTCTTTGCCAATACCATAATTCAAAGGCATCAATTCTTCTTTGGTCTTCCTTATTCATTGTCCAGCTTTCCCATGCATATGAAGTGATTGAAAATACCATGGCTTGGGTCAGGTGCACCTGAGCCCTTAAAGTGACATCTTTGCTTTTTAACACTTCAAAGAGGTCTTTTGGAGCAGATCTGCCCTGTGCACTATGTCATTTGATTTCTCGACTGCTGCTTCCATGGGTGTTGATTGTGGACCCAAGTAAAATGAAATCCTTGACAACTTCAATCTTTTCTGTTTATCCCGATGTTGTTTATTGGTCCAGTTGTGAGGATCTTTATTTTCTTTATGTTGAGGTGTAACCCATACTGAAGGCTGTGGTCTTTGATCTTCATCAATAAGTGCTTTAAGTCCTTACTGATGAAGCAAACTTTTGTCATCCGCATAACGCAAGTTGTTAATGAGTCCTACTCCAATACTCATGCCATGTTCTTCTTCATATAGTCCAGCTTCTTGGATTATTTGCTGAGCATACAGACTGAATAAGTATGGTGAAAGGATACAACCCTGACGCACACCTTTGTTGACTTTAAACCACACAGAATCCCCTTGTTCTGTTCGAACAACTGCCTATTAGTCTAAGTACAGGTTCCTCATTAGCACAATTAAGTGTTCTGGAATTCCCATTCTTCGCAACTTTACCCAAAATTCGTTATGATCCATACAGTCATATGCCTTTGCACAGTCAATAAAACATAGGGAGAATGAAGACAACCACAGACACAAGGGAAAGATCACTTCAAAGGACTAATGAACCACAACTACCACAACCTCCACCAGACTGAGTCCAGCACAACTAGATGGTGCCCGGCTACCACCAACAACTGCTCTGACAGGCATCACAACAGAGGGTCCTAGACAGAGCTGGAGAAAAACACAGAACAAAATTCTAACTTACAAAAAAAGACCAGACTTAATGGTCTGAGAGAGACTGGAGAAACTCCGAGAGCATGGCCCCCAGACACCCTTTTAACTCAATACCGAAGTCATTCCTGAGGTTCACTCTTCAGCCAAAGATTAGATAGGCCTATAAAACAAACAATAACATACAACCACGTATACAGGACTAAATGGGCACACCAGCCCATGGGCAAGGAGAAGGCAGGAGGGAACAGGAAAGCTGGACAAATGGAAATGGGGAACTGAAGGCTGACAAGGGGAGTGTGTTTATATGTCACAAGATTGGCAACTAATGTCACAAAACAATTTGTGTATTAAATGTTTAATAAAAAACTAATTTCTCTGTAAACTTTTGCCTAAAGCACAATTTTTTAAAAAAAGGAAAAAGATCTATTATTTTAAAAAATAGTCATAGCTGTTCATTCAGATTATATATATATTGATAATCTCCTAGTTCTCATCTTTCCTTAATCAGCAGGTCACTGTAACAGAGACAGATAGTTACCCACACAGTGTCTAGTCTGTTCTTCTTCCTTAGTAACAAAATCTTGATCTAGTCTGGGTAACAATGTGTCCAACTAAAATGCTGTTATTACCAGCCTCTCCTATGTCTAGAGACAGTTAATGAGGTATAAACACAGGTTATCAGGTATTATTTCCAGGAAGGTTCCATAAGAGGGAGGACAGCCAGCATATGTCTTTTTTTTTTTTTTTTTTTTTTTTTTAACCCGTCCTGGGAGGGTTTTAAGCACAGGGCCTTGGCGTGCCAAAGGATACATTCTCCTCCTAGCTCCTGTCAACCAGGAGGCCTTCAAAACGTCTGCATTTCAGTCCTTTATATATCCTAGTCCTCATAAGTTACAAGCTCAGGCTTCCCTCACCAGACTAGAGTTCAACAAATCCTCAAGTACCCATGAAATGTCAGTTGACTCAGGTTTTGTACAAAAGT